TATATTTGTAAGCCAGAACAGGTTGTGCCAGGAAAGTTAAAAATTCTTGAGGAGCCATGTTCGTCCACTGAAAGGTCCCAGCATATAAAAAAAGAGAAAAATATTTTGAAAAAAATAAGTAATAAATAGATGAGGTTCTCGCTTCTGCAAATCGCCATTTTTATAGTCATTTCTTATTAATAATCTTGGAGATTGGAAGCGATCTGGAATTACAAAGGAAATATTTGTTGCAGATTACTTCTACAACGCAGAGAATAAATCACTGTAAGTTCAAACTCGAATATCGAGGGCAGAAAGAAATGCCGAAAACTCGATTCGCTGGTGCTATCTCACAAATCCCAATGCACTTAACGAATCGGAAAAAAATAAATCACTGACCGACGAACGCGGTAGCCTAATTCACGAATTTTATTTTTCTCTTTTTCTGCTTTTATCGGCCGAATATTTTTTCCTCCGTCGATAACTGGGAGAGGACGCTCAATTTTTTTTATTTTTTTTGCATATCAAAATACTTTTATTGTGACTCCTGTGACTGACTAAAATATTCCGTCTTCAGCATGTCATGCTGAATACGTACCCTTTTTTGGTAAGTAATTTTCTTTTTCACCACCTTTTCCGTCGTAGGATACACGCGACACGCTGTCGCTTGGTTTGACGAAGTAAGTCGCCGTTTTCTTCGCTATAGAGATAAAACAAAGTGATTCAAGGTTTTAAAAGAAATAATATATTTTTATTTATTTTATGAGTGAGTCCTTTGGTATACGGCGTAGTAAAAAGTTCATTAACAAGGTGGATATTGATAGTCGTCTGAAGAAATATCCGTTTGTTGTCGTTTAGAACTAAGACCATGACATCGGTTTTAGTAATGTGAGAAATTAAGGCAGTGTCAATCTACTGTGTTCTTTCCGGCCCAGAAACAGGGTAGACATGTTAATAATCGATGACATCTTAATTGTTCTTCACGTGTCACTCATAGATTCATTTTATTTTTGTTCCATCCTCTCCAGGTGTTGTTTTAATTCCAGCTCTTTTCTGACTACATTGAAAATAGATTTGATTACGCGTTTCGCCATTCAAGTTTTCATCAGATCTATAAAAAAAAAGCACATTATTTACATTATTCGGACTATTGCCCTCATCTTTGTCGCCATATTTATTACAACGTTTCGGCCGTTGTACGCTCCGGCCTTCTTCAGGTGATTGGAATGTTATTTCGCTCACTGGGGCAGACTGTTCTAGTTCCACGTGTTTAATGGATGTCAGTTATCAGTTATCTCCTGATAATTTCCCCCTGAAAGTTCTCCACTGTCTTAACCGGGTATTGAACTCACACTCTTTGGGTCCTGTCACTGGATCTAACCAACGCCTTTATCCACTATGACATGTGCCCTTGAGTATGAATTTCTGGGTATTATAAACCTAATGTCTTCAGCAACCATTTTTACCAGTGCTCATATTGAAATTTTGCTGTTATCATTGCATGTTTTTTACCAGAGCTCATATTGCAACTTTGTTGTTATCATTAAATAAAGACAATATGGGAACCAGCAATAAGGAGTGTCAGAAAAAAGCAATGATAACAACAAAGTAAATTAAAGTACATAAAATTGAAGTTTTTTTAGCTTCTGTTCTTGAAACATGTGAACTCTTATGTAGCGATGGAATCAAATTTTTTTTTAATAATTATAATTTAGGCTCTACTTGTGTATCGAGAACTGTTTTTCTTTTTAAATAAAACAAAAATACTAAAGGGCTTCGAATTATTAACTTAACGGTTGTTTCCTATTTTTCTATATATTTGCGTGCACTACACACACACACACACACACACACACACACACATATATATATATATATATATATATATATATATATATATATAAAGGATTTAAATATATATTTTCAAAAAAATTTGGTCCTAGAAAAAAAAACCCTGCTGCTGATATTTTGATAATGATGATAATACTCGAAATAAAATGAATATGCATCAACATAGTAATTTTCTTTCTTCCTTTAATAAAGATTTTAAGAAACTTGTCCGTGATAACGAGAGGATCCTATTAAAAATAAGTAGACAAAATTTATCTAAAATATTTAATGAGACATGTCTTAATGAAAGCATGCTGCCAAAATATACCCAATATATACACACACACACACGCACACACACACACACACGCACACACACACATATATATATATATATATATAGTACATATAATAAATACGTTGATATATAATCCAAGTGGATCCTAGTAATATCAAATATTAAAACTGATCCAGAAAAAGAGATCAATGTATTTATTATAACAGAGCATATAATTGGTACTAAAAAAATAAAAAAATATCTTATGTAGACGTGGGGGTATAGAGCTATTTCACCTGACAGACATAAATACGTCAGTCATATATGTTATGCGCAGGGGTTTAATCAGAATGACGTATTTAAAGGAGTCATCTGAAATAGATCCATACGCCCTACCTCTACGTGAGATAATTTTGATTTTGTTGTACTATATATATATATATATATATATATATATATATATATATATATATATATATATAAAAAGAATAGAAAAAGAATAGCGAAAATGTTTTGGTTTTGTAATGTGGATTTTTATTAAAAATATGTATTATGCTTTATTTTATGGAAAATAAAGCATAATACACAGTTTTAAAAAATTCACATTACAACCAAAAAATGTTTGTGGGTTCCTTCTTTTAAAATATACACTGTTCTGTCGTTGAACAACTACAACTGTTCCCAAATATATCTATATATATATATATATATATATATATATATATATATATATATATATAAGAATAGGATTGTGTCTACGGAATAAATTCCAATAACCAACAAATACTATTCATAAGAGAGTGCTCAATACAGAGTAGAGCAGATATATTTATTCGAAAATTATAACATAAATATGTTATAAAACCATTGCAAAAATAGCCATTTTGTTTCAACACTTCTGGTGTTTTATCATGTGATGATGTTGATTGTATACATTCAACACCATCACTTTTATGTTATAGTTTTCGAATAAATAATTATATATATATATATATATATATATATATATATAAAACTAAGAGAGAAAGTGAGAGAGAGGTATTTATATATATATATATATATATATATATATATATATATATATATATATATATATATATATATATATATATCGTATAGGATTGGTGTATACTGAATAAATTGAATAACCAACAAATACTATTCTTATATATATATATATATATATATATATATATATATATATAAAAACTAAGAAAGAAAGAGAGAGAAAGGCGATGAGCTGAATTTTGTTAAAGTTTACATATGCTCCCTAATAATTACTACCTCTGTTCCATTTATGGAGATCTTCAAGAGATGCTGGGGTGGGGCTTTTCTCTTCGATGGACGACGAAGAGAGTGTTTGATAAGCACTTGGGTAAATATTGTAAAGTGTAAGCATCAATAACTTTTCATCCGTTTTCATCGTTGACAAGGCCAATCATATGTAAGAAGAAACTAAGCCTGTAAATATTTTTTATTCTGCTAGGGGTATTTCAACTTTACTTTTTTTTTACATTGGCAGACGGCGTGTACTTTTAGAGAATATTTCAAATAGGTGCAGATTTTGTAAGTAAGCGATATTCTGTTCTGTTTTGCCTTGTTCTCTTCAGTTTTGCCTTGTTCTGTTCTGTTTTGCCTTGTTCTGTTCTGTATTTTTTCGTCTGTTGAGAAAACTAGAGATTTTTCTCTGAAAGTAAGTGTCCTACCAGGAAAGAGGAAGAAAAAATAAAATAAAATGAAACGTGCGAAAATTTGTCGGAAGTCCAAAAGAATTCTGGCGTAAACAAACAAGACGACATTTTCGCCTTTGAGTTGTTTTGATTGTTTTTTTTTTCTCCTTCTGTTAAGAGCATCGACTAAACAAACATTTTATGCAGACAGAACGAAGAATTTCTGATAATGAGATGATTGTTTGTTACTTAGATTAAAAGAAAGGAGAGAATGTTTTCTGATGGAGAGAAAGAAAACACACACACACACACACACACACACACATATATATATATATATATATATATATATATATATATATATATATATATATATATATATAATAATTAAAAAAAGAAAGAAACAAACAAACAAAGAAACAAAGAAAAATTGGAAAAAATGGCATATTTTAGTGAGGGTGAAAGAAAGAAAAGGAAACGAAAGAAAGAAAGAAAGAAAGAAAGAAAGAAAGAAAGAAAGAAAGAAAGAAAGAAAGAAAGAATAAACAAAGTATAAATGTAAGAAAGAAATAGAGAAAATGAAAATAGACAAAGACTCGATGGTTAAAAAGAGAAAACACATAGAGTAAGAAAGAAAAATAATATATAAAGAAAGAAAGAAAAAAGAATGTAAAAAGAAAGTAAAAAGAAAGAAAAAAGAAAGAAAAAAGAAAGTAAAAAGAAAGAAAAAAGAAAGAAAAAAGAAAGTAAAAAGAAAGAAAAAAGAAAGAAAAAAGAAAGAAAAAAAAAAAGAAAAAAAGAAAAGAAAAAAAGAAAGAAAAAAAGAAAGAAAAAAGAAAGAAAAAAGAAAGAAAAAAGAAAGAAAAAAGAAAGAAAAAAAAAGAAAAAAGAAAGAAAAAAGAAAGAAAAAAGAAAGAAAAGAAAGAAAAAAGAAAGAAAAAAGAAAGAAAAAGAAAGAAAAAAGAAAGAAAAAAGAAAGAAAAAAGAAAGTAAAAAGAAAGAAAAAAGAAAGAAAAAAAGAAAAAAGAAAGAAAAAAGAAAGTAAAAAGAAAGAAAAAAGAAAGAAAAAAGAAAGTAAAAAGAAAGTAAAAAGAAAGAAAAAAGAAAGTAAAAAGAAAGTAAAAAGAAAGAAGAAAGAAAAAAGAAAGAAAAAGAAAAAAAGTAAAAGAAAGTAAAAGAAAGTAAAAAAGAAAAAAGTAAAAGAAGTAAAAAGAAAGAAAAAAGAAAGAAAAAAGAAAGTAAAA